TTTAAAGCCGATTACAATCCTTATTTAAAGTCTGTTGTTTTCGTATGATTCGCTGCATGTCGCGATTGCATGATCGAAGGAGTTCGATCTCGATCGAACTCCTATAATATATATATTGTATACATGCATATGAACGCGATGCATGCATATATATCGCAGGATCGAACTCCTATATATAAGGAGTTCGATCCTGCACACTTTTGTTGTATAATATATACATGTACATTTAATTTGTCTGTATGCATGCATGATGTTTTTTCGACACGTCGTTTGCATGCTGCTTGCTTTGTGCTGCATGATGCAATGTACATGCTAGCAGCCGCTTAAGCGATCGAGCATAGCTTAAATTCAACCATCGCGAAGCCATGCACCGGGATCGGTCGAGATCTCCTGTTGATGCTGCCCTCGAGTGGCGATACAACTGGGAGAGTGACGGGACATCGTGGTGGAAGAACTGGTGGCCATGCACGAAGGCCTGGATCCGCAAGAAGATCCGACAGGATCTGTTGCAAAGACCTGCAGAAGAGGAAGCAGCTGATGGTCAGCAGTCGCCGCGAAAGCGGAAAAGATCTGGGGATTGATCGAAGCGGCTTAATTAGAACATGCATGTCTTGCCCAGCTTGGGTCTCAATAAGTAGGATATCAGAGCAAGTGCCCGAAGAGACATGCGCCTCAGGTGCATGATCATGCTTGGCACAAAATGGCGATTCTATCCGCATGCATGCGTGCAGCCATGCAGTTTGCAGGGTTTGCTTGTCTTCCTTCGACCGCTGCCATGTGTCGCCGGGCCGGTTGGCTCAAGTTTTTGGACAGATCTGGTGGGCGGCCTGCTTTGCTGCAGGCCGGGCTGCCAGGATTCATGCATGGCATGGAGTGTCACAAGTTCTTAGGAGGCCACGTCTCCCAGTGGGAGGCGACCTCCTGCACGGCATGCATGTTCGCAGGATAAAGTGCAGACTTTTTCATGTACATGTGCTTGCGAAGTGCTTCTGAAGCATTTTGGCTCATGAGCACCATGATCACTAACCGAGCTGCCAACACGGCAACTGTTGAACAGGTTGCTAAAGCTTTGAGAGGCTGCTGCACAAGCCTGCACTCTGGGTATAAGGAAACAGACTGTGAGAAGATTTGCTCCTCGTACGAAGCTTTCATCTTGGACTTGTTAGACTTGACCCCGAGGCCCACGAAATTGTTGCTTGAAAAGGCTTGCCTCAAGGCTTTCGAGGCCACGGGTCCCAGTGAAGCTTCTTTTTTCGGCAGACAGCTAGCGGCATCGGTCCAGTTTTGTAGAATCAAGGCGAAAAGCGTCTCGACAGGAGTTCGCACTCATGGTTCGGTGCTTCGCATCATACAAAAGATGGAAAAAATAAGGCTGCAGAACAAAAGTTCCAATTGGGACATCTATGGAAGGGTGCGAAGCCCACCGTAGCAGCAGTACCCGCACACGCCGTGGCTGATGCCAGGCCCCGCAGTAGATCTCGAGCAGCAACCGCTGCTGCTGCTGCTGATGCGGCCGAGCCTACTAGTGCCAAGCCTACTAGGGCAGTTTCCATCGGATCCGTGTCGTCCACCGGAAAACAGTCCGCTGCTGACATCTTCGCGATGTACGGCTTAACCGGCGAACCCGAGAAGATGGAGCACATAGAGCCCGAGGAGATCGAGCAGATAAGCTCGAGTGAGGAGGTCCAGCCTCTTCCAAATGATCAGCCTGATGCTGCTGTGACGTTCATGGAAGACAGTCGACAAGAGCGGCCAAATGCATGAGGAACCAGGCCATGCTCGCCCAGGTGTTCCAGACCGTGTGCTTCGACACCATGACGAGATCCTGGCCAGGCCTGTTGCAGCCCTTGAGCCCTTGTCTTCCCGAGGCCTCACCGAGACGGAGGACAAGGAGGCTGGCAAGAAGAAGAAGAAGAACAACAAGAAGAAGGGCGACACGAAGCCTAAGGCCAAGTCGGCTCCGAAAGCCAAGGGCAAATCCAAGGCGAAGGCCAAAGCCAAGCCCAAGCAAAAGGCCGAGGCAGAGGTCAAGCATGGGGGCGGCGAGGTGGCGACGAAGACCGATCCGGAGCCTGATGAAGCTGAGGCCAAGTCGAGTTCCAAAGCCAAGGGCGGATCCAAGAAGGCCAAGGTTCGCAGTGCCGAGGACGATGGGGCCCTTCAGATTCTCAAGAAGCCAGCCGCTCTTCAGGCGGCGGAGGGTGAGATTAATCTCAAGAAGCCAGCCGCTCTTGAGGCGGCGGAGGCTGGAGATGAACATGGAAATGGAAATGAAGAGGAGAAGGGGGGCCCGGAGATTCAGGACAAGCCCAATGGGTGGAAGAAGATGCTGTTCCAGAGGGGTGGCAAGCAGAAAGGGACCTACTTCATCCTGGTGTCGCCCCAGAACACGCGATATCGCGCCCGTCCCGCGGCAGCGGCTGCCGGCTACGTGTCGGAGTGATATTTAAATATTTAAAGGGTTTGAGCTAGGAAAAAGGTGCCATGCTTGACACGAGGGTTATCAGTGCATGCATGTTTGTTTCTGTCCTTCTGCTTCTGCTCTCATGTCAACATGTCAGTTCTGTATACATGTTTCGTCTCTGCAGGTACTGCCGTCGACGTCCTGGACAAGCTGCTTCTCTTCCGGGTTTTCTCCGGCCGGTGCCCAACCCAGTGTTCCTGTTCAGTTGCATCGACTGCCATGTTTTACATAATTCTGTAGTTTGGGATGGCAACATAAGTGGGGATTCTTGTCTGGTCGAGGAGTCACGAATTAATGCGCTTTTGGCTGGCTGCTACGTCCTCCTAACGCACCCAAGAGCTTCAAAGGAGGATGCAGCATGATGTGCATGACCCGCTGCAGGCACGGGCAGATCTCTTCGAGCTGCCGCTTCACTTCCGGCTGGTGCCCTCCCAGTGTTTGCGAAGTGCGAGGGCTTGCAGGTTCGGAGGGTCTTTGTCAGAATGGTTTCAACTTGAGGTTTCATGTTTCAGGGTTAAGTGTCAGTTTCAGCTTTGATGTTTCAGGAATCGGTTGCAGTTTCAGGTTTGATGTTTCAGGGTTATAAGGAGGACTGTCGTCCTCCTGTGATGTTCAAGTTGGATTTCCATGAGTTTCAGGTTGGATGTTTCTAGGAGGACTATTAGTCCTCCTATGATGCATGCATTGGATTCCGCAGGGGTTGCAGGCTGTATGCATGTGCATATATATATAGGATGCATGGCACATGCATCCTGATTCCGCACCCCGTGAGCTTTTGCTATCAAGGGGCCCACCTAGCATTCAATTCGACCTCCCGATCGCCATGGGAGCCAATCAGAGCTCTGGCAACGGGGCCCAGGAGATCCTGGCTGCGGTCAACCGGCTTTCGACAGCAGTCGAAAGCCTGCAGCAGACGCCGCCCCCGGGTGCACCGGGGCCCAACACATGGCCGTCGACCGTGCCAGCCCCACCCACAGCCGTGTTCCCCCCTGCTGCACCGGTGCCAGCCCCACCCCCAGCCGTGCTCCCCCAGCCTGCTGCACCGGGGCCCAACACAGGGTCCGTGCCATTCCCCCCGATGCCACCGCCGTCGCAAAGCCCAGACGACCAGAACCGTCTGCGGCACTGCAAGTTTTGCGGTACCCCTAGCTACTGGCGCAAGGGAATCTGCCTGAACGAGACCTGCAGGGTTTCTCGGAGGCATTTATTATAGCTGTTTCTCATGGTTTGGTTTTGTAACTATAATTTTAAAATCAGCGAGCCCTGCATGCAGTTGACGTACGTTGATGTCCAAGACCTCAACGTGGCGAAAACCTGGGCCGGACGAGAGATTACGTCGTCTGCTGATATGCACTGGTACGTCACCAACCGAAAGAAAAAAAACAAAGGTGCCTGGTTGCATTATGCATGCATGTTGATGTCTGTGCTATATATGCTTCCATGCATGTTTGTGTGTGTCTCCAGCTGAGGTCTCAAACGCAAGGCTTGGTGGGCGGACCGCAACAATCGTTACTCCAAGGCCAAGGATGGCGAGGACTGGTCCAAGGCAAAGGGGGATGGCGACGAGGATGAAGAGAATAAGGAAGATGAGGCACCGGATGCTCATCATGAACCCCTCCCGGGTTCGAAGGGCCCCGATGGCAGTGATCCTGACCCAGACAATAAGGGCCCAGGTTTTGGCGGTGCAGGCGGTGGATCATGTGGCGGTGCAGAAGGTGGATCAATGATCCCAATGCTGACTGTGTAATGCACAGGATCGAGGCACGATCGATCGTATGAGCATCGCGGGTCAAAAGACTCCTTAGGAGTTGCATGCTTTGCACTCCTGTTGGCTAAAGGAGTCTGCTGCATGCCTTGCATTCATGCACCATGGATGCATGCAGGTACATCTCCTACACAGCTCTGGAAAGGAGGCTCGCCCGGCTCTCCTGCACAAGAGCTTGGTCCCGGGATCTGTCAACATGTTTGTTTCAGCTGTAGGAGGAGAGTGCAATTGCTTGCAACATGCATGCAATGTATTCCTCCTGGATCTATATATATATATATATATATATTCTTTAAACCCTAAACCCTAAACCCTCAACCTTAAATGCTATTATCGATACTACAAACATATCAATATATGTTAATTTATTTAGTGCATGTATATAGAATATATATATATATATATATGTTACATCATATGCAAACAAGTGATATGCTTGCCTGACAATGGGTGGCGGCTGCTGTGGCAGCAGGAGGCAAACCTCCTAGTCTCCTGGATCGTCGAGGAGATTTAAATTATATGTATATATATATATACAAACCCGGATAACCGGAATCAGAATGGCCCAGCCTGCCTGTTGCCGAGGTTGCAACGCCGATGTCCGGAGGATCTTCGACCAGGCGCTTTTTGCCCGTTCCGATTTTTAATTTTTGAAAGAGTCAGAAATTTAACTCCATTTAACTGGGATTTAACTTCGTCTTCTTTTAAAGAAATTATGAATAGCCCAAGTTAAATGCCTAGTTAAATGGAGTTAAATCCCTACTTTTTCCAATGTCTGCACTTATGCGTCGCCAGGACCACCACGACGGTGGTGATGCCGGAGGAGGCTGGATTTCGAGCTCTCCTGATGGGTCTCACCGCCGAGCAAAGGGCACTTATCGGGCGATTGTTGGTGGAGATAGACGGCCCAAGAGAGCCGTTTAATCCTGCTCCGGAAACCCCACCGCCCCCACCCCATGCTCAGGATCCTTGTCCACAGAAGTGTCACCAGTGCAGGGAGCAATGGTGCACTCGAGGCCTGGAGCCACACAAGCACCACAATTGCACCCGATGCTTCCGCAAGAGTCGCCGGGGCTAGAGGGCAAGATGGCATATCCATGGCATGTATATATAATATGCTATGAAGAAAAGGGAGCTGCAATTGCTGCATTTGCAAGTGACATGCATATTCAGGTGCTGCATTTGCTGCATTCCCCGTACCTAAAACTTGCCAAGGCTCAGATCTTTAGCTTAAAGTCTCACCCTTCTACAGGTACCAACTTTCTGAGGATGCTCGCAATAAGTATCATGGCGAGCCTCCTGCCCTTGACCGCTTTGGTCATGGGGGTTACCCGACACACGGCGAAGGCCAAGGCCAAAACCGGGGCGAGCAAGGCCAAGGCCAAGGCTAAGCCCACGGCAGCGAAGGCCAAAACGCAGCCGGTGCCCGTGACCGTGAAAGTCGAGCCGGGTGCTGAACAAGGCGAGGCCTCTGAGAAGGCAAAGGACCCCGTCAAGGGCAAACTCAGCAACCTGGTAACACAATGCAAGAATGCAGTGAAGAAGTTGGAGGATCACGACAGCGGCAAAGCAACTCTCAGCGAAGAGGAAGTCGGCAAGCTCAGAAGCAAGAAGAAATTCTACGACGACTATTGCCAATTGCCTCGGAATGCCACCGAGCAAAGGATGCAAATGCTCTCCTCCTGGGAGCAAGACAAGACAGGGAAGATGTGGGCCGAGAAGATCCAGTCCCTGGAGAACGACAAGGCGACCACCGCCAGCAAGGTGGGTGGGTTCTTGTCTCGTGCCTTGGCCTTGCAAGTTGTTTCGAATACATGTGTGTTCATGTATATATATATATACATGCAACTAATCAATTGAAGTCCGCAGGAGTTCTCCGGAACTCCTAAGAACAATTCGCAAGAAAGCAGCCGAACAGATCGATTGGGCGATCAGGAGAGACTATAAGATCTTAGCAATTAATAGAAGGAGGTTGCAAGGTAGGTTCGTTGCAGCCTCCTTAATTGTTCTGGTGGGATTCCATGCACTTATTGCATCGATCTCGAGCATCTAGCCAACCGCTCTCGATCCTGGCTGTATACAAGAGGATGAAAAGGTTGCGGTGTGGGGTCAGAAGAAGTTTGTATATGTCTTTATAGATCGCATAGCTCTGTATCTACTGTAGTTTCTTGTTTTAGAGAATATATATGGAACATGCAGGCATACATAATAGGAGGATGGGCATGCTTGGCTTCTCACCCGAGGTTGGGAGATCGCCGACCAGGAGAACCTGAACCTTCAGATCCCCGAGCAGAAGAAGCTTTGGGAGTCCATCCTCGAGGAAATCCCCTATGATGAGGAATGGAACCAAGAGGATAATCGTGAGCGAGCCCTTGCAAAAGCCGGGGAACGTCGCTACCACTACGGCAAAACCAAGATGACAACGACAACGGACACAGTTCGTCACAAAGAGACGATGCAGGCCGGGTACAACCTGAACGACAAGGAGAAGAAGCAGGCCTTGCAGGACAGCCCCAATCAGCCTTCAATCGAAATCCGGGATCCCCTTTTGGTTGCCTTGAGGCAAGAGCTGCAGACCATGAACTCCGGGAAAAAGGCTGTCGAGAGAAACCTGAGCACGATCAAGGATCTCCAGGTTTTCGCGAACACTAAGGGCCTGAGCAAGATGAAAGATGCTGCAGCAGATGCCCTCACACCACTCGACAACTTCCTGGTCACCTTGAGGGAGGACTTTGCAAAGCTCGATGCCCTGGACGTCGGGAGCGAGGAGTCGGTCCAGCAGGCCAAGGACATTAACACGCAGGCAGGTGTGCACGTGGATGCTGCTGGCAGAGTCATCAAGAAGTTGAAGACGATGAACGAGTGAAGGCAGTACTAGGTCTTGCTTATAAGGTTCCTGGTTTTTGAACAAAGGAGCGGCGGCATGCATGGCCCGATCGCTGCCAGGCAAAAAAAAATCACCAGATTTTGCATGCACATGCTGCATGTGCACGGCTCGACCATGCACTGTCTTTGTGTACTTAATTGGTGTTCGCTGCAGCCGTTTGCCTCCAACTTTTATATAAGTTTTGTTTAATGATGCAACAAGCCCTCCGGCTCATCTGCAGGAGGTGGACCCTCCTCAGAACAAACCGAAAAATAAGCGATCTCCTAGGTCATATACAAAAGCCCAGCTCAGTCGCCAGGAGTCTTTGTTTAATTGACTCCTCATATCGGTTGCAGTCCAGAGCCATGTTGCCTTCGAAGAAGCACCAAACAGATTTGAAGGAGGTGGAAGCTTCAAAAAGGTTAAGAACACGCATCGGCAATTTGATGCTGAGCAATACCATTTCTGGTATCGAAGCTAGCCGCCTTTTTCGAGATGCGGACTTAGCCAATGCAGAAAATGTGAAGGATTTGGCTGCATGTGGCACCGGCCGAGCGGATGACATCCCTAAGAAAAGGGATTTGGTGCGCCGCCTTGGCATTAACCGGCATTGGCCGGATCCGTATTGGTGCAAGCTGCCGCTTTGGTGCATGGCTCAGCAAGTGGCAACCGAGGAGTGGGTGCCACTGTGGCTTCCCCATGAGCTGCTGCATGCACTGGAGTCCAAGGCTGCCGGCTTAAACACCATGAGGGATTTAAGCTGCATGGAGCCGGGCGAGGTGGCTCTGCTCCGCCAGTGCTGTGAGAAGGCTGGTTTGGAAGAGGGCTCTGCAGTGGCCCTGGGGATTTGGGGCGATGGGGTTCCGATCACTCGTGATCGTACCCAATCGGCGGAAGTCTTAAGCCTCAACATTCTCAGCCACTCTCAGCGAGGTGCATTGCGATTTCCCTTAGCCTTGATGCAAAAGCATTTGATGTTGAAGGAGTTCACATGGGATGCTGTCCTGTCGATCATGGCCTGGTCCTTCGCTTTTCTCGCAGCAGGCATTTCGCCATCGAGTCGCCACGATGGGACGGCATGGTTGCCTAGCGACAAAGCAAGGAGGGCACGAAGCGGATTGCAACTACCCAGGGCATTCCTGATTCAAGTCCGAGGCGACTGGGCCTTCTACAAGCAGACGTTGTACATGCCGGCCTGGCCAGCAGCAGCTGCATTGGTTCGATGTTTTAAATTGCTTTAAGATTATTTGGCTTTTTAAATATAGGAGATAGGAGGGTCTCCTTTATGCTAGCCTCCTTTATAAAGGAGGCTCGCTTATACAAATGTTCATTTAAATTTAGATATGCTGGAAACGTAAATATATAGAGCTATTTTTTGGGTGATATGTTATAAGACATGCATGATCATAGACATCGATCGATGATATATTTTTCCATCTAAGGAACAGGAAAGATGGCTGCTGCTGGTTGTGCAACATCAAGCCCTCCGAGCTGCATATGGTGGCTCCTAACTCTCCCTGGATGCACAATCGCAAGTCGCACTGGGATGCCGTGTGCGAGATGCCCAGGAAGAGCCCTCTGCTGGGTTCTCCTTTTTTTTCGCTGGCAATGTGCCAGCTCGATTGGCTCCACATAGTGGACATCGGGGTGGCCCTCGAGTTTCAAGGAAGCTTATTTCACTACGTGTGCTTGAAGAAACTGCAAGGCAACCTGCAAGTGGCATGCCGTGAGCTGTTTTTCATGATCAAGGAATATTATTCCGCCAACAATGTCGGAAGCCAGTTGGGCGAACTGAAGCCCACTATGCTCAAGGGTAAAGGAAAACCATACCCAAAGCTTCGGGCGAAAGCGGCGGAGAGCCGAGCATTGGTGCCGTTCAGCGAGATCCTGGCCCAGGCCGTGCTAGTTCCCGAAGATCCCTTCGACAACGTGCTCATGAAAGCTGCCAGCTCCTTCGCTCGCTGCTACGATCAGCTTTCCAAGGACTCCTTTCAGCCGGCCACTTTGGCACAGGAGGCCTTCGAATTCGCTTCGAGATACGTGGATCTCAACAAGGAGGCGGAGAGACTAGGCATGAAGCTTTTCAAAATAAAGCCTAAGTTGCACATGTTTTTGGAATTGTCTTACTGCTGCACCTGCTCTCCTTCAGCGAACTGGTGCTACAGGGATGAGGATTTTGCTGGCAAGGTTGCAATGGCAGCTTTTCGGCGAGGCGGTGCCAACACCGTGCGAGCACTGGCAGAGTCTTACTTCTTACGCTGGAAATCCATGTATGCAGTTCCAGAATTGTGCTGATCCATCGGCTTCTCGATCTGCGAGTTCGGAAAAAGTCCGACTAATTCATGCACGCTCATGATATCACGAATATATTATTATTCGACACTTTATAAACATACTCATATTGCATGATCGATATATATATATATACATTTCATGGCATGATCGCATGTGCATGGAGGCCCATGTGGTCTCCTCATTTCTAGATCGAGGAGACCTGCCGGAAGACATCGATCTCCTAGCTGTGCACTTATAATATCACATGCATGCATGCATTTGCATGGATTTCTGCATGTCGGTCATGTTTAATATTCATGCATGCATACAATTATTTATATATATTTAATAGTAAAACAAAACATAGCCATATATTCGACTTCCTCAGCCATGTCTGGGGGAACAAAACTATGCCCAAAAATTTGCAAAGCAAAAGAAAAGCAAGGGAAACATCAAGTCGTGCCTATCCTCGCCCTGCACACACGCCGTTGTCGCCCGAACCTTCCTTAATTTAGGATTGTGTGAATCTATTCTAAATAACGGGTGTCTGCCTTAATTAAAGCTTGCTTCCTTATATTTTAAGGACTATAGTGCTTAAATAAGGAGTATACTCCTTATTTGAGGAGTGTACTCCTTAATTAAAGCTTGTGAATAAGGACTATAGTCTTTAAAAAGTGGTCATTGCAACTTTTAAAGACTCTTGGGCCTTCTGGGGAGCTCGTCGGCGTAGGTCTCGCCCTCCTGGCGGAGGCGCCGGTTGGCCAGCCACTCGTTGAAGGCCTGGGCCTCCACGAGCTGCTGGTGCCTTCTCCGGAGAAGGGGATTCAGGTTGTACGAGGGGTACATCCGGCTGAACTGCCGCAACATCTGCGGTTCATTACGACGCTCCAAGGGCATCATGGTTCCTTTACAGTTCGTGCGTATTTCGTGCGAGCAGCTCCATGTAGCGGTCCTGGCGCTGCATGTAGCGGAGGGCCCGCTCTTGTGCGGGGCGTCATCCTGACGGGCTCGACGGGGGGCTGCGAAGCCTCGGGCTGAGCCCTCGGGGGCTTGAGCTCCGGCTTCGCAGGAACTGCTGGCGTTGCAGGAGGATCGGGGGCAGCACGCTCGGGAGCTTGTGCTGGGACGGCTTCTTCGGCGGGCACCGTCTTCGGAGGCTTCGGCTTGTTCTTGCTCCCGGGCGGGCGGCCTCGGCGCTTGGGCTGGGGGGGCTCCGCGACCTTCGGGGGCTCGGCGGGCTCCGGCGGGGGCACGGCGGTCGGAGCCGGCTCAGGCTCTGCAGCAGGCTCCGCAGCTGGCTCTGCAGCCTCAGGAAAGGACGGCTCAGCCACGGGGGGCTCCGCATTGTCTGCCATTTTCTTTTAAGGATTTTTTTAGTCATTGGTCGTAGTCCAGGTAAATCGCAAAAGAAACGCTGGTCCCGCGGGTATTCACTACATTGCCATCTACGTCGGTGAGCTTAAAGCGCAATGTGCGCAAGGTAATGGGGCCGTGCAATTTGAGGAAATGCCCCTCGTCTGTTCTTGTTTGCATGATATGTCCCACGCCTTTGTCGATTATCATTTTGCATACAATGTCGGAGCCCAGCTGCCCCTTGATGTCGGCCGCGGTGGCCAGCGTGCCGCAGCGCAGGTATAGTTCAGAGTAGCAGTTCATATAACGACGAAAGGAAAGATCTGGAGCGCGCCGTCGATGAAGCTGGGCCCGAGCAGGTGGTTGATTGAGAGTGGCCGGGCGGGTGTGGCGCCCGCGGGATAGCTCGCGGCGTCGGGGAAGAGCTCGCGCAGCTCGGCATCTTGGAGGATGACCCTGTTGCCATCGTAGGCCACGCCTATTTCATTGGTTTGCTCCACGTAGGTGGCCGAGGCGTAGTTGCTGCTGATCCAGGCGGCCAGCCGCGTCCCCGTGTAGGCACCCACCGGGAGCGTGGCCCAGTTCAGCGTGCCCAGGGCAGTGTCCCGCCAGAATAGGTATTGGCCCCTGTCCGTGGACAGGAAGGCGTCGGCCACGCGAAACTTGAAGACCGAGAGCTTGGCGCCCGTCTGGAGGTGCAGGGTTTCTCCCAGATCGTACGTGAAGCTGCTGTCGTCCCCCGCAGTGCGCTTCCGGGAGTCCACGTAGATCGTAGTCATTCGCCTTTTCTTACGATGGAACAAACTCCGGCCGGTCGATGCGTCGGACTCGTTGCTGATTTGCCGGGGTCGCTCGGGGTAGGGCCACCTAGGGTCCACGACCCGTTGCGAGCTCGAGCAGCAGTGGATGTTCGAGCACTCACTGTCGCAGAGCGGGCCGCCCCCGATCAGTTTGCTGACCACTTGGCTCAGCAGGTTCCCCATTTTCGATCACGAAGCGTTCCTCCCAGCGCTTGTAGAACATTTCCGCGCGGGGCTTCAGGTAGTGGATGAAGAGGAAGCTGTAGGGCTCCCTCGTCGCTTCTTGGTAGATAGCCTGCAGATCCTGCTTGGGTAGCAGGGCCGTCAATTCCTCCAGCACGGCCTCCAGCTCGAGCTGGTTGCGGAGGCGCCAGACGCACATGAACTGCATGTTCACGCGCACGGCGGCGCTGATGAGCCGCAGTTTCTGGGAGGACACCCATGTGGAGATTTGCATGTGACGCCCTCGAATGAAGAGAGTATCGAGCGCCCCGTCGCCGGTGCGGCGGTGGAGCTCCGGTTGGTCCGCGAAATCGTCGATCACCACGAGGATTTGGTAGAGCTTTTTGAAGCCTAATTCCTTCGTTTTTCGGGTGATCTTCTTCTGCTGCTCGATGATGCCGCGCAGGGCTCCCTCGTCCCATTTGTCGAAATAAACCTGCTCCCGGTCCGTGTTGACGCCCATGTCGTGCTCGATGAAATGCTTGACGGGCTTCCAGGCATCGTCGATGTCAATGCTCGGAGACATGATAACTAGAAGACAATTGGCCCGAAAGCATCATCAGCGAAGAGTGTGGGGCTATGTGATAGATCCAGTGTGTAGGATCGTATGCAGATACAGTCAAGAGTCATGGAGTCCATGAGTCATGAGTCATAAAGTCATAGAGTTACAGTGAGATAGCGTCATAGAGTCATAGTGGGATCAAGTCGCAGAGTCATGGAGTCATCTATGTAGCATGCACTTGACTCGATGTAGTTCACTCTATGCTCTATGTGTGGGAACGCTTAATCGAGATCCCCATAGCGTGAGGGCTCATAGCCCGACCTGGACCTCGAGAGGCACATACAGTCAAGAGTCATGGAGTCCATGAGTCATGAGTCATAAAGTCATAGAGTTACAGTGAGATAGCGTCATAGAGTCATAGTGAGATCAAGTCACGAGTCATGGAGTCATCTATGTACCATGCACTTGACTCGATGTAGTTCACTCTATGCTCTATGTGTGGGAACGCTTAATCGAGATCCCCGTAGCGTGAGGGCTCATAGCCCGACCTGGACCTCGAGAGGCAGATACAGTCAAGAGTCATGGAGTCCATGAGTCATGAGTCATAAAGTCATAGAGTTACAGTGAGATAGCGTCATAGAGTCATAGTGAGATCAAGTCGCAGAGTCATGGAGTCATCTATGTACCATGCACTTGACTCGATGTAGTTCACTCTATGCTCTATGTGTGGGAACGCTTAATCGAGATCCCCATAGCGTGAGGGCTCATAGCCCGACCTGGACCTCGAGAGGCACATACAGTCAAGAGTCATGGAGTCCATGAGTCATAAGTCATAAAGTCATAGAGTTACAGTGAGAGTAGGCCGCCACGTTGCTTGCTCGCTCTTTCGCAAGACAGCGTCGAAGCAAGCAAGCAACGGTGCAACCTAGCCAGAGCGAAGAATTCGCGGCCCGCACGGCTCACCGTGGAGTCAAAGGCCGCGTGGCCTGAGGAGGTGCCGGGAGAGGTCATCCCAGGGATTACGGCGGTCCGGAGCCTCATGAAAACTGCTGATTGTAGTTGCAAAGGTTCATCGGGAGCCCCGAGCCTCCATAGCACGCATTATACCAACCCAAGGTATAGTATCATGGAAGAAGAAACATAGCGGCAGCTGACGAACATCCCCAAACGGAAGTCGCAACACTAGTCTCTGAAAGTAGCAGGGAATTAGGGTTTCGCTCTTCATCTCAAACCACAAGAGGCCAGCGTATGTTTCTTAGCCGACCCAACAGACTCCAGGGGAACGCCACGGGCTTAGGGGTCCTTATTTCGTGTCTATCCACACCGGATAATCCACGAGGGCCTAGTAGGACTAATGCAGGGATCACGGTGGTCCGGAGCCTCCTCTAGAAAGATTGATTCTAGCTGCAGACATTCATCGAGAGCTCCAGGCTTCGGTGACACCCTGTGTATCAACCCTTGGTATACTATCTCAGAAGAAGAAACCCGGCGGCATCTGGCAAACATTCCCAAGCGGCAGTCACAACACGGGTCTCTCAAAGGATGATTGGGGATTTAAGATCTATCCTATACCACAAACGGGTCCACCTCGCTGAGCCGCTGCGCGACTCGTGCCGCCGGGAGTCCAGCAGCGGAAGGCAGTGCAGCCATTAGGGATTTGGGAAGACACCGTTCCGAAGTGAAACACCCCACTTCACTAGGAAACCCGCCAGATGCCGCGAAGTATTTAACCCGCCAAGCAATCGAGGAGCTCCTGCGTCTCGATGAACCTTTATCTGCTCACAGGATGTCGCGGCCAGGAGATGAACCGAGGCATTGGGAATCACTACGCTTCCGCCGCACCAATGTACCAATGCGAGCACTTGAAGTTGCCGTTGATGGTTCGCCCATCATAGTTCTCGCTCGGCAGCCTTCGGTTGTCAATCGGCCTGAGATGTCCACGGTACCTCACGACTTCATGGTGGAATTCTGCACATCGGCTGGATCTGTTGACGCATCCATAGTCTTGATGTTCACATCTGCTGGATGTTGGGCTGGATTTGTTGACGCATCCATAGTCTTGATGTTCACATCCACTCGATGTTGCAACGGCAACTGCAACACGTCCACGCTTGCTTCATAACTCCGAAATGCTTCGTGCAATG